ACAGGGGAGAAACCGTTTCCATGTACAATTTGTGAAAAAAGGTTTCCACATAAAAGCAATTTAGCTATTCACATGCAGTCTCACACGGGTGAGAAGCCTTTTTCATGTGGGATCTGTGGAAAACAATTTGGCTACAAAAGTTTTTTAAAAGCTCACATGAGAGTTCACACAGGTGAGAAGACTTTTTCATGTGGAATCTGTGGAAAAGGTTTCACTCGGAGAAGTAGTTTCACTGTTCATATGTGCACATGATGGCATAATTTAAGCCTTAAGTATAAATTTTCTCAGTAACTTGCTGTTTTTAAGTGGAGTATTTACAGCTGGATGACGTTTTGAAAATGTAGCAGCTTTGTTAAAAAAGCATTTCAAATAAGAAATCTTGTTCTAGTAGTTTTACCTTTCCATTTAAATGTTTCTTTTAAAGTGAGTGTCTCCATATTAATTGTTTGAGTTTGAGATTCAGGACAAAAATAAATATTTCTGTTCATTTGATGGCAATGATGCAGACATAAGGTTTATTAAATCTGAGAAGTGTCCTTTTGTGTAAACATGCGCTAGCTAGCATCTAGCTCGTGACATTTAAACACTGAGCTAAAATACTTTCAAAAAATTATCAAATTCTGGTTGATATTTACACAACATTTTTTAAGTGAGACAGTAATTATCTCTTGAAGGAACAGTGGATTTAAATGCCTTTAGAGTCATTTTATGTCAATCATTTGTTGTGCTTGTACTTTTTTTAGTTGTAATTTCCTGCTAAGTGTATCCATGTTTGCTGTTACTGTATGCAATGTATGCGGTGGTAGATTATAAATTAATTGCGTATTGGGAAAAATACTTTTCTGAATCTGAATATGACATGAATTTGTTTTCATTATTTTGTATTTGAGTTTCTGATTAAAGACAAAAAAAATATTGCTGATTATAAGATGGCAACAATGCAGATTTATTAAATCATAATTAAACCTGACAAGTCTTTTTTTTCCCTGTGTGTAACTATTTATTGACTTTATTCCGTGTTGTGGGGTGACGGGATGGCGATCTTTTTGAATCTACACAGAAAAATACTTTGTAAAAGCGCACAGTGCAACTCGCAGGTTCATGCACAGAGTAAACAATGACCCCGTATTTTAAACAGGAAAACCAGGAAGAGAAAAATGTAATCTACAAATGTGTGGAAGAGAGGAAATACTTCCAAATTTAAATAAATTTTAACAATATTGTAATTTATAGAATATAACCGTATGTTAAAAGAGGTGACTGAAAGCGGAACTTATAAATCGTTCACAGTTTCTTCAGTACAGCCATAGTGAAACACAGGGAAGATTAAAAAACAGCACATGGGCTAGTCTTTTGTTAGACGGTTGTCTGAGGACGTGTTTGAAGTTTAGCTAAATCCATCCATCCATCCATTTTCCTTCACCCTTGTCCCTCAGTGGGGTCGGGAGGGGTGCTGGTGCCTATCTCCAGCTCACGTTCCGGGCGAGAGGCGGGGTACACCCTGGACAGGTCGCCAGTCTGTCGCAGGGCAACACAGAGACACACAGGACAAACAACCATGCACACACACACTCACACCTAGGGGCAATTTGGAAAGGCCAATTAACCTGACAGTCATGTTTTTGGACTGTGGGAGGAAACCGGAGAGCCCGGAGAAAACCCACGCATGCACAGGGAGAACATGCAAACTCCATGCAGAAAGACCGGGGCCGGGAATCGAACCCAGAACCTTCTTGCTGCAAGGCGACAGCTCTACCAACTGCGCCACTGTGCAGCCCGTTTAGCTAAATATGTGAGTGTTTTTAATAAAAAAATGTCTTCAGTTCAGACTCAGAGAGAGTTTATCAACGAGCAGGAAACTCCTGCTGAAGAAACATTTACAGAGTTTAAAGAAATAAAGGTCAAGATCGAGGAAGAGATGGAGGATCAGCGCAGACCGCTGGATTTCAGGCGGACACCCCGGATCGTCTCGGACGGAAAAGGTACAAAAGACCTTCATGTTTTAATGATTAGAGTTAGAAACAGGTTAAAAATGGTCAGGGACAAGATGGGAAACGACAAAAATGAAAGACCTGCACGTTGTCTGCCTTATTTTGTTATTTTTTTGTTGCTTGTATACAAGGGCGTAGGAAC